ATAAAATTTACATGTCAACCATTTTTAAGAGTACAATTCAGTAGCGTTAAGAATATCCTCCTTACTGTACAGCGGTCACCACCATCCATGCATAGAACTCTTTTCATCTTGCAAAAGTGAAATCTGTAGCCATTAAATAATTAACTCTCCATCCCCGCTCCTCCATCTCCTGGCAACCACCATTCCACTTTCTGTCTGGATAAATTTGACTATTCTAGGTATCTCATGCAAGTGGAATCGTACAATATTTGTCCTTTTTTGACTCATTTCAATTAGCATAATGTCCTCCAAGTTCATCCATGTTGCAGCATGTATCAGAACTTCCTTTTTAAGGCTGAATAATATTCCATTGTGCATATACACAATTTGTTTATCCATTTACCCACTGATGGACACTTGAGTTTTTTCTTCCTTTGGGCTATTGTGAATAATCCCATTAGGAACATGGATGTACAAGTATCTCTTTGAGTCTCTGCTTTCAATTCTTTTGGGTATATCCCCAGAAGTGGAATATGACATTCTCTCTTTATTTCTTTCATACAAACTCTATGCCTTGTTAGTTTATATCAGACACCAAAGTCTAATGTTTGTGAAATATAAATGGTATCCATAAATTGCCTCCCAACATCCTTTTTTACTGTTTACTACCTTTTCCATATTCTGTCACTTTATAAAATTGCACAAACATTAGTGAGCTGTGTAACAAGTCAGGATACAAGGAGCTCAAAAGCCAGCTACAGATTCAGTGGATTGATGCCAGCAGTTAAGAATGTCACCACCAACAGTATCATTCAGTAAAAGGCTTCCACCTGAAGAGGAGAACCTTGATTGGAAATCAACGGCCAGACTCACATCGAATTCTGTGTCTCTGACAGGAAAGGGAGGAGCCCTGGGCATTATTTACAGTTATGTTTAGATCTGTCATTTCTTAAGCAATTAGTCAACTTGCCTTTCTTTTTTCTTTTTTTTTTGGCCTCACCACACAGCATGTGGGATCTCAGTTCCCCAACCAGGGATCGAACCCATGCCCCCTGCATTGGAAGTGCGGAGTCTTAACCATTGGACCACCAGGGAAGTCCCTCAACTTACCTTTCTTGATCTAAAACATTCTAATCTTAAAGGTTATCATCTCTGCCTAATTGCCTGTTAAAGTTTACCTATTATTTACCCACAGAAAAGTAAGTTCTTAGAGTTTTGCCAAGTAAACTTGAAGAGGCCACAAAACTTGAAGAACAATAAAGGTCCATTAGTCACCAGAAAGTGTGCTCCTTTTATGACTCTGTTTTGCTTCCATTTTATTTTTTTATTTTTATTTTTTTGCGGTACGCGGGCCTCTCACTGTTGTGGCCTCTCCCGCTGCGGAGCACAGGCTCCGGACGCGCAGGCTCAGCGGCCATGGCTCACGGGCCCAGCCGCTCCGCGGCACGTGGGATCTTCCCGGACCGGGGCACGAACCCATGTCTCCTGCATCGGCAGGCGGACTCTCAACCACTGTGCCACCAGGGAAGCCCCCATTTTATTTTTATTTCAAAAATTACCTAATTTTCCACCAAACCAAATCATTGGCTCAGCAAAAAGTTTTACAATTCTAGTCACTGGCATTTCCACATGTGCTCACTGGTATTCATAGTCACTTCATGAATCAAAGAAAACTAGCTAATTAATGTTCATAATAACTTTACAGATTTTATACGAAGCCAGGAGCACCCAAGCCTGGCATCCAGCGTGCAGGTCATGTGGATGTGGAGGTGGATGGGTGGGGAGGCAGGTGACAGAGGCACCAGCACAGCCCTGTCCTCAGGGCCACAGCACGAGTGGGGACACTTGAAGACAAAAACCGTGAGAAGCCATTACTGAAAAGCTCTAGACAATGCCCTTAGGTATTCATGTAACAATGTAGACACTAAGTATTAGAGGAACTAAGAGAATGGGGAAAAAAATTACTGTGGACTTGAACAACTTTAGAAGACAGGGGATTTGAAGTGGCCTCAAAGGGTGAGAAGGTTCTAGAAGGATGGGAAAGAACAGAAGATACTGCCAGGAAGGAGAACCATAAAGCCAGGGCAGAGACAGAACAGAACGACCCCAAAACGCCAGGGTCTGATTCTGAAAAAAAACAAGCGTAGTCTATATGAGCCACGGTAATCCTACTCCAATCTTGGAAGATAAAACTTCACTTCATAAATATTCTGACAGCTGAGAACTGTCCTTTGGCCTTTTTAAAATTCACATTGACTTTCTGTCTCTCGGGTTTTTTTGTTTTCAACACTCTTCTCCCACCTTAGACAAGTACACCCAACAACAAACCTTATCTCCATAAGGCTCATTTTCCGAGAACTCAGACATTCTTAGGGGCTGACCAATACCAACACAGGCCTACTTGTGACCTGTACAAATGTATCATCGCTATGCACACCTATAGTTTAGTAAATTGTCGTTTTGAATATAGTTGACAGGACTTCACACCAAATTCTATTATCTTAACAGGTAACTAATATTGTTTAACTAGTAAGTATAGGATTGCAAATCAACCCCACTATGCATTTTGCTCACTATCTGACCCATTTCCTAACCAACTTGCTACCATTTTTCCATACTCCGCCTCTAATAATACAAGAATAACTCTGCTCCCATTCTGCCTAAAAATGCAGGGACAGACAGAAGGAATCTGTGACATCACTAAGACATTTGGCTCATTCCACTAACTAGACAGTTATTAAAATCATCAAGACAATTTAGCAAGAAAGCATATAACCTTACTGGATTAGAATACAAGAGTCTCCTAGGGCTTCCCTGGTGGCGCAGTGGTTGAGAGTCCACCTGCCAATGCAGGGGACACAGGTTCGAGCCCTGGTCTGGGAGGATCCCACATGCCGCGGAGCAACTAGCCCCGTGAGCCATAATTACTGAGCCTGCGCGTCTGGAGCCTGTGCTCCACAACAAGAGAGGCCGAGATAGTGAGAGGCCCGCGCACCGCGATGAGGAGTGGCCCCCACTTGCCGCAACTGGAGAAAGCCCTCGCACAGAAACGAAGACCCAACACAACCATAAATAAATAAATAAAATTAAAAAAAAAAAAAAAAAAAAGAGTCTCCTAGAAAAAAAAAAACTATCCAAACTTCATCGTGCCCCATCACAATTACTGTGATGGGGATGAAAGCTGAAATTCAAGCTCCTTAATCTTTGAAAAAACTTCCCCCAAACAGAACTTAACACTGTTCATTCAATCTTGGCCAGCAGAATGTCAGTGAGTTCTTTGCCGTTCCTAGAATATTTGTCTGGTGTCCCCAGAGAAGTCGTTATAGGCAAAAGGGACAAAGGAGTTTTTCTCAAAGTTTCAATCATCTGTTTCTACAAATGCTTAAACATCCAGGTTCCTTGTCTGTGAGATAAAAGATGAAATTAAATTAAGTGTATATCATTTCTGTGGTTTGTTTGCTTCTTAAGCAATTTTATCTCAGGTTTGCAAATACAATTTTGAATTCCAGGCTGCAAAACTCGAAATAACTTTGTTACTCTAACTGATACCAAGAAGAATACATACTTCACGCTCAGAGAAACTTGAGATAATCTTTAGCTTCCTCAGAGCACACTACAGGAAAAATACGTCAACATGGAGTATAATTTGTAATCATCTGATTTAACTTCTCATGCTAACAAATGATGCTAACAAAAGGCATCATTCTGAGGTTTCCATTTATTCATCCCTTAGCTAGGTAATCTACTCTTGTAATGAAGTTTTCAAGGCATCATATTTGGGGGCGTGATCTGAAACCATTTATGAGCAGAATGTACTTTGGCAGCAGCATCCCACTAATAGTCAATTTCATTTCTGTGGCATTCCTTATTTTTCAGGAAAGAACTAAAGAATAATCATTTTACCCACAGTTAGAAAAAGTGAACATCTGTGAAAATTCTCACCTTTGTTGTAAACTGGAAGCTTTTAAATTTGGTGGGAAAAAAAAAACTTCAAGGAATATAATTTAACAATTGTTATTAACATGGAAATTTCTAAAGACAATTCGGTACATAAAGAACTGTATATATAGCAGGTTATGTTCTGGGGAGTGGGATTAAAAAGAAGGTGGTAGGGGAGGCTTTTAATGTCAAGTGTTTCTATAGTGCCTGTTTGTTTGTTACATGTATGTACTAGTTTTTAAAATTAAACAACAAGGCAGTTTAATTCACAAAAGACAGGTCTTGGATGGTAACAGCATCAGGCAGAGAAGAAGGAAGTGCCAAGATTAAGTCCCAGGAGATCAAGGGCAATAACTGGAATCTCCAGTAGACAAAGATGACTCCAGGTTGCCAGGCATCTAACGGTACTGGGGTTCTATCACTCCTCAGTGGCTCAAAGCTCTTGTGGGTCACTCAGCCACAGGCCATAGTCTGAAAGGCTTCAAGCAACAATCTAGAGCAGCTCACAGCAGAAGCTGTGCTGAGTCCCCTGCTGGCAGCTACTGAGCTTCCAGAAACAGCACCCGTCACTGCATCAGTGAGGTAAATGTTAGGACATTCCTTGATGTCAGAACCCCCAAACTCTTCTCTATGAGCCCACACACAGTTCAGGGCCTCTCTCAAGGCAGTCTCCCAAAGTGACATTCTAAAAGGATGCATGGCAAAATCCTCCACTGCTTCCGAGCAAATCCCATCCTTAAGACTCTAAGGCACTTGGCAAAACCCCTAAATACCTCTTCAAACAAATTTCCTAAGACATAGGAGGCACTTGTGTCTACAGAATTAGCCCAGAGTATAGCACTTCTATTCAAGATAAAAGATACACACTTGAAAAAATATTTGTGTCATATACGTATGTGTGTTTATGCATATGTGCATGCATGTATGCATGTACATACATATACACACATATATGTATACATATACATATGTAACATATATTCAGATCTGCGTGTGTACACACATACACCCACATATATACACATATATATGCAAAAATAATTCCACACGGCTCTACTTACAGACACTTAGAAGTTACCTACCTGAAAGTCATCATAAGGGAAGAGCAGCATCTCCCTTAAACAGTCGTTCAGGATCTGTGTCTTCTTCTGGACAATGACATTTTCATAGTCGAGTGGCTCAATCAGCTTTGGTTTGGCCTAGCAGGTGAAAAGATAAGCAATTGGAACACTCTTATAAGATAAAAGTAACTTCTTAAGACTAAAGAACTTCATACATCCTACTCTACATGTTTTTGTACTTTCCAACTTTTCTACAATGAGAGGGTATCAGTTTTGCTATCAGGAAGACTCCGAAACAAGAGAAACAAGTTGTCTTCAAAGGAGAAAACACTTCACGGTCCTCATGCTTGTTTGGTTATTTAAACACAAAGGAGGCTATGGAGTCTGGTGGAACTTCCAGTCACGTCTTGGGTCACCCCTGGCTAGATCAGTCCCCTTCTAAGCCTTAAGCTTTGCCAGAACTGCCCTGCTTGGAGGTCCAGCCATGGTCTGGCAACGAAGGCCACCAGCTCCAGCCATGACCATCTCTTCTTGGCCCTGGGCTTAAAGCAACCCCCAGAGCTCATTATTTTATATAAAGCTCTATGGAACTCATCTCTGAGTCTCAAAATATCCCTGTCTAACCTGAACTATCTATACACTTACATATGCAACACCTAAACATAGAGAAATGTGAGCTGGACCAAAATCAGGCAAGCAAGGGAAAAAAGTACTTAAACCAGGGCTTGTGGGTGACCCCCAGGGGGTAGGGATGATCATCCCTGGCATGCACTAATCCAAAGAAAGAGGCAAGGAACAACTGGGGAAAGAAAAGAGAGAATATGCCTTTTCTAGCTATTTCCAAACTTATTCTCAGTAAAAATCTCATCTAGTTTTAGTCATTGGCACAGTGTTCAGTGATCACTTCCCACATGCAAGGCACTAACTGGGCTAAGTCAAGGATAAAGATATATATTCAACTAACTATAGCACAGTATGCCAAGTGCTTAAAAAGGCACACGTGTGCGTGTGTGTGTGTGTGCGCGCACGCACACACACACACACACACAACTTATCAGAAGTAAATTCATTATATCAATAAATTCATTACTGCAAGATTATTTTTGAAACTATTAATAAAAAACACCTGATAACACAATTTCAACAAATGCTCTATATATTAAAATGACAATTCATATACAGATAATAAATAAATATATTAAAGACATCGGGTATGTGCCATCTAAATTAGGAATTGTAACTGAGACTTCTTTGTGTTCCCCAAATCTGTCTCTTTTCCTTCCAAATAGAACTGGACTACATTTCCCAGTCTCCCCATGGTTAGTGTGGTCATGTGACTGTCTTCTGGCCAACAGTGTGTGAGTGGAAGGGATGTGGTCGCTGCCAAGCCTGGATCATAAAAGCCTCTGCTATAGACGGAATGCTTGTGCCCTGAAAACTCATATGTTGAAACCTAATCCTGAAAAATAATAGGATTAGGAAATGAGGCTTTGGGGAGGTGATCAGGTAATGAGGGTGAAACCCTCATGAATGGGATTAGTGTCCTTATAAGAGAGACCTCCAAGAGCTCTCTCGTCCCTTCCACCATGCGAGCGCACAGCAAGAAGACAGCATCCATGAACCAGGAAGTGGACCCTCACCAAACACTGAATCTGCCAGTGCCTTGATCTTAGACTTTTCAGTCTCCAGAACTATGAGAAATAAATATCTGTTGTTTAAGCCCCACTCTATTGATATTACAGCTGCCCAAGCTAGCTGAGATGGCTTCTCTCCCCTGTTCTCTCCTTATTCCCCTCTGCCAGTAGCATGCACAGGATCCAGCAGTGGACTCAGGAGATGGCCTGAGAACAAGAACTAAAGCATCTACTGTATTATGCCAATGAGGTTCTCAAGTTTCTTAATGAAGCAGTCAGCTTGCTCTGCCTAATATAAGAATAAAATGTTCATATTTAACTTCAATTACTTGATTTAAGTAGACTCTACATGACGTCATGATATGCTGAGGAAAAAACACAGTGCTCAAACAAGTGCACAATTATTATAATTGGGTAATAGTACATGTTTATGGACGGAGATTAAAAATATACACAATCAAAAAAATTAAAGCTATCTTGTGAAAGTGTAGGTAATTTCTTCCTCTAAAATATTTGTAATGTTAAAATGTTTTTACATTCAAAAGAGGCCAAATAAAAGATTTACACAATTATTTTTAAGTAAGAACTGACACAGAAAATAAAAGTATTCTCCAAAATATTTTAATTCAACTTAAATCATTTCTTCCTTTATTTTAGTTTGTTATGTTGTATACAGTAATCAATCTACAGGTGCTTGTTGGCAAAATGGATCAACGTCACAATCAGTAACATTTTCTTTAGGAACCATGACTATATTCCTAATAAAATCCAAAAAGGCACAGAGCTTTCTACAGTGACAGAGCTCAGGATTCTGACAGCTAAACTTCCATTACAAGGAGGTCAGAAGGAGAAAGACTGCAGGATGGAACAGACACTGTGCTCCCCCCTGCCCTGTGTCGTGTCCAGCACATGACTGCAGCCAGCGAAGCCCAGAGAGGGTGACCTAGTTTTGCAGCCCTGGGCACCTCTACAGGCACTAGCTGGCCCAGGGGAATCCTCAGCTGGGTACCTCCCCTTCCAGCCCCTCGGCACAGAGCATCAGCTCCACTCCCTCCAGGCCACAGGGTAAGGTCAGACTGCTTTCTCAGAAAACTGCCGCAGTGTTAGCCCTGGTTAGCAGAGGGTGCTGCAGGGACACTGCTTAGAAAGGGGCTTTTCTCAGGCTCCAGTGTTCTGGAATTGTTCCTCGGTTTTTGGGTTTTTTTGCTTTGTTCCTATAGCCCAGCAGCCACTGGGGGCTTTCTGGGAGAGACCCAGTGGCGCACACCCTCCAGAAGTTGCACAGGCACCCCAGCAGGTGGTTCCCAGCCTCTAGCCTGCAGATCCTCAGCAGACTGACTTCTCCACTGTCCAGAGACCAGGGCCACACTCCCTCCACCTAGGCCTGAATCTTAGCCTTGGGTGCAGGTTTGGGGGGGGGGG